GGTTTCCCCCAGGCCTGTTGTTGGGCCTGCTTTCTCCCCCCTCCCTTCCCTCCAGGGTACATTGTGTTTTAACCAGATCTCCCCAGAGCAGAAATTCCTGCTCAACCAGAAACATCAATTTTTCTTCTCCTGACACCAACCCCATAACTCCTTAGAAGACAGCTTCCCTTTCTCAGTTCTGTAAGGGGTCACAATGACCCTCCACTCACCATGTACGTGCAGACGTCTTCAGTGAACTTGATGTAAAATGCCAATATATCATTTCCTTTAAAGGGAGCCATTGGAACAGACTGCTCAGATGACCTAGCGAGTACTGGGCTGTACTTCACGGAAGTTCTTAGCTGAAATACTTTGTGTGTGTTTGTGCTCAGTCATGTCCAACTCTTCACAACCCCATGGACTGTAGCCCACCAGGCTCCTCTGTCTGTGGGACTTTCTGGGCAAGAATACTGGAATGGGGTGCCATCTCCTCCTCCAGGGGATCTTCCCAACCCAGGGATCAAATCCATGTCTCCTGCACTGGCAAGTGGATTCTCTACCACTGAGCCAACTGGGAATCCCTAAATACCTACTTATGAACTTAACTAATGTTACTTGCTGTGTTACTTTGTAATCCGCCTATTTTACAAGATTATTGTTTCTTGCATTACCAAATGTGTGCCTGAGCCTCAGGTAAAATTCATAACGACTGCATGCTCAGTTGCTCAGTCTTGTCCAACTTGACAATCACATGGACTGTAACCCACCAGGCTCCTCTGTCCATGGGATTGTCCAGGCAAGAATACTGAAGTGGGTTGCCAGTGCCTCCTCCAGGGGATCTTCCCAACCCAGGGATCGAACCCACATCTCCTGCAACGCAGGTGGATTCTTTACCATTGAGCCATCAGGGAAGTCCCAATAACAACTAGGTGACTTGAAATGATTGACCAAATATGTAGTCCTATAAGAAAAATGATTGCAATCATGTAATTAGTTGTAGAAAGAAGCAACAAGAGGGACCCATTTCCTGGGCCAGAACAGACCAGTAGGACAGGCGGCCCAGAGGCTTTGGGCCCCTGTCATCAGGGCCTTGTCCAAGAACAGTGCGTGGAGCAGCCTGTCAAGTCTGCACCTGACCCTGGAATGAGCGTTCTTAGGGCCTTGGAACAAACTGATCACGAAATGCCTCCAAACGTTGGTTGAAATTAAGATCAAAGGGGAGGGGACTATAAAAGTCAGCAAGCTCTGCAGTCGCTGACCTACAAGGTGAAGATCAGGATGAGGCCCTCTGTGCTCTGGGAAGACCAGCCCTCAGATAGTCAGAGATTTTCAGAAGAAATTTTGTTTTTTTTTTTCCATTTCTTTTTTTTTTTCGTTTATTTTTATTAGTTGGAGGTTAATTACTTTATAATATTGTAGTGGTTTTTGTCATACATTGACATGAATCAGCCATGGATTTACAAGTATTCCCCATCCCAATCCCCCCTCCCACCTCCCTCCCCACCCGATTCTTCTGGGTCTTCCCAGTGCACCAGGCCCGAGCACTTGTCTCATGCATCCAGCCTGGGCTGGTGATCTGTTTCACCCTAGATAATATACATGTTTCCATGCTGTTTTCTCAAAACATCCCACCCTCGCCTTCTCCCACGGAGTCCAAAATTCTGTTCTGTCCATCTATGTCTCTTTTTCTGTTTTGCATATAGGGTTATCGTTACCATCTTTAGTATACTGTATTGGTCTTTATCTTTCTGGCTTACTTCACTCTGTATAATGGGCTCCAGTTTCATCCATCTCATTAGAACTGAGAAATTTTGTATGATCCTGGATTCTTGCGTCTTTCCACACTCAGGAGGGCACCCAAACCGTTAACCGAGATGCTGTTCCTGGTGACTGCAGCAGCCTTCCACTAAGGTGTATGCTTGACTGCACACCCCCTCCCCCAAACCACACGTACACTCTCCTTCCCCGACCTCCTTGGAACATTCCCCGGAGCCACTGCAAGACGTCTCCTGGGCGATAATCCTCAGGTTGGCTAGAATAAAAATTTTCACTTCATTCTTAGACTGACTATTGATTAATTTTTTCCTCACCACCAGCGCGGTTGTCTGAGCCCCACCCTAGCAGACACGTGCCCCTGAGACCCGAAGCTCTGTGGAATGATTTCAGATTTCCTTCCTTCGCAGCCGAGAAGCTCAAAGGGCGAAAGCATTAAAGGGCGAAAGCATTCAAACCAGAGAAGCAGGGCACTCACTGGTGGCTGCAGAAAAACGGGTCTCCCTCCCTGGTCTGCGGCGCCATCTCGTGGTGGTTTAGGGGTAGCGCGGCTTGGGCCGGAGGGTAACATGCGGATGCGGTGAGTCTCCGCCTCCATCAGATCCCTGGTTTTCATCAGACCCTTCCCAGCAGACAGGATCATAGGACTTTACAAGCAGACAGGCCTGGTTTCAATTCCAGTCTCTCCACTTGCTAGCTGTTTGGGAAAGTTTCATAACGACTCCATTCCCCCCATTTTCTCCATTTTAAAGTGAGAAGGTGTATAATTAATATCTACAATGTGTGTGCACAGGCTTCTCTTGTGGCTCAGCTAGTAAAGAATCTGCCTGCAATGCAAGAGACCTGGGTTCGATCCCTGGGTTGGGAAGATCCCCTGGAAGAGGGAAAGGCTACCCACTCCAGTATTCTGGCCTGGAGAATTCCACGGACTGTATAGTCCATGGGGTCGCAAAGAGTTGGATGCGACGCAACAACTTTCACTTTCATAGGTGTGTGCACCACACTCATACAATCCCCGCCCTGGATAGGCAGGACAGCCCACTCTGTCCCGGGAGGGGTCTTCTGGAGGGTCTCCGAGGTTCCCAAGTCTGGCCTCACAGAGTGTGCCTTTCACAATTCTGGGGGTGACCTCTGCATTGGAAAGCAGTGAACGACCTCTACAGATGTCCAGGGCCACCCTGGATCCTGCCCTTCCTCCTTCTGTTTCAGAATACTATGAATTCAATTCCTGAGCCATGCCAGCAGAGTCTTAAATCAGAGGGATTAGACGACAAGCAACATACAGACTGAGCCTACCTTCTCCCAGCAGCACCCCAGACTCTCTTGGAGAAGTAATGTGAGCACATGGGCACACACATGCATAATTCTGGCTCCCTCCCTCTCTCCTTGGCTTCCCTGATTTAACTGCAAGTAGGATTCATAGGGGCTTTTCTTTAGCTAGATGTTGAGTTTCTGGGGACATGGATTCTACCTCACTCTTTCTGTTTTCCAAATGTCAGTATACATCTTCCCAGGTAGCGCTATGGTAAAAGTAGGAGGCATAAGAGACACAGGTTCTATTCCTGGGTTGGGAAGATCCCCTGGGGGAGGGCATGGCAACCCACTCCAGTATTCTTGCCTGGAGAATCCCATGGATAGAGGAGTTTAGCAGGTTACTGTCCATGGGGTCGAAAAGAGTCAGACACGACTAAAGCGACAGCATGCACGCACACAATGTCAGCATAAGAACGGGGAACTCAATGATATTTGCTGGTTGGATGGATGGATGAATGGAGGAAGGATGGATGGAAGGAAGGATGGAGGGAGTGAGTGAGGGATGGGTGATGAGTGGTTGGGTGGATGGGCAGAGGAGAACGGTGGATGGGTGGATGAGTGGATGGGTGGGCCAGGTCAGGGGTACCTCACAGCACACACATTCTTGCCCCTCTCAGACCTTGTCATGGCCCCCAACGTCTGTTGATTTGAGTGTCTCTCCCCCACAGGACCATGTGCCCTTTGAGGGCAGAACCAAGCCTGCGTCTCATGATCTCCAGCTCTGAGCTCAGGGCCTGGTGCATGCTCAGGAAATATTTGTCGAAGAAGGGACTAGGGCAGTGGAAGGATAAAGGGGGTGACCAAAGTTCCATTATTACAGAAAACACTAGCGAATGGACACAGTGGTTACTGAGATTACATGAACACTGTGGATGAAGTTTTAAAGATGGAGTTCTAAAGTCCACATCAACCACTTTACCTAAGATCCACACAGTCACAGTTCTCAAGCCTGGGTTTACCGAACACTGACTGTCTCTTCCTCAAGAAAGGTCAGTGAGAGGTCCTGAGCTGATGTCAGAACAAGCGGACACAGCTCAGGAAGAGCCAGAGATGGGCTCCTGGTCTCCATGAGACACAGCACCGCGCCGGCCCTTGCGGACGCTGAGTGAGCTTGTGAGGTGGATGAAACCAGACAGAGCAGCCAGCACGGGCCTCTTTCAGTGTCGTAGCAATTTATTCCATTCGCTCAGAATCGCTATCCATGGTATCACATATTGCAATTCTATCCTGACTCTGAGGTTTTCAATAAATCAAAATACTCCCATTTCCCTAATGTCCCGTATTAATTACATCCAATACAATTAATCCTATGAATTAAAAACATTCAATAAAATTAACCCCATGAATTAAAAACTAAGACCATGTTCTAATTCTAAGTTCATCAAGGGAAAACACTATACTCTGAGGTGTTAGGTATCAAATGCAACTCCATGTACTTCAAGTAAAGTAAGAAGCATTATCTCTTAGCATGGTGCAATGAAGAAAATTCTAAACTAAAACTTAGTTTCTAGACCTATTTCCTCATGAGCTCATTTTGTAAACTTATGTAAATAACTCACCCATTCATTTTATGGTTACCCATTATGCAATGGGCAAACAGTGCCTCACCCCAGGTAAATTATTTATTTTAGTATCTGTGAAAATGCTTGGGAAAAAATATATATCTATATATATCTCTCTATATATATATCTATATATATATCTCTCCCTATTTTATTTTATTTATTATATATATATATATAATATTTTCCTACTTGCTATAAAATTTTTCATATTAATAGAATGCCTTCTGAGTCACTGCTGTGTAAATAGAAACAATATCTTGGTAATAATGTAGGACTAAAGTCAAAAGGTATATGTGTCTACTAAAAATCACATTAGCAGTATTTTTTTATGACTGACCTATTTTTAAAAATAGGATTCCAAGTGTGATGTCAAATATTTTTGAGAAAGTGAAATATTATGTATTTAACAGAGGGGCACAAGGATGGATGGGTGGTTGGGTGGTAGGTGATAGGTGTCAATAGTGAGCAAAGCCAAGACAGGGGCTTGGACCACTTGGGGTGGTAACAGGGCTGGGTGCTCTGGGTGGTGGCAGTGATTGGGTGATGGCAGAGCTGTTTATTGGAGCTTGGTTTGAAAATCCGTGTGTCTGGGGCTCCTGGCGTCCGGGCTCCTGCATGCTGCTCCACCCTCCTGGCACTGCTGCTTGTCTGGGACCCACACGGAGGACGGGCCTTCTGGGGGTAGGCATAGTCTGTGCGTTCTCCATCTCTGGGGCTCATCGAAGCCTGGATGTAGGACAAAACAGGCTCCCATCAAGGCTCGAGTGAAGACTGGAACTTGAGCACAGCTACCTGCATGGGAAGATCATCTGGGTCAGTCTGTCCCAGGAAAAGCAAGGTTTCTGCTGGAAACCCTGGGAGGGTGAGTAGAGAGTTACTGCCAATCCTAAGGACACGACATCTGTGTTCGCTGAACAATGCCAGGCTGGGCCCAATAAAAGGGCAGGGACTCCCAGGGAGTATGGGAACCTGGTCTGGGTGAGGGCCACTCCTTCAGGGAAGCAAGCAGGTGTGATGGGTGCACACACCTGAGCCAGACGGCCACACCCTGGGGACTTTGTGCATCTGCACTGTTTGTGGACCACCCACCCAGGCACGGCTCATCGCCCACTGGGGCTCTGCCAGGTGTCAACCTTGGGGATGTTTGTTTGATGTTTTCCAAAGAGTAGATTTTTGCAAGAGCTTGAGAACTAGTTATCGATTTCTTCCTTATATACTTTGGAAGACAGAAGTCCCAGGAGCGTAAGAAAAGACCAGGGGCCAATTTTCCCTCCGTGTCTTAATTTTGAGGAGGGGCCAGCCTCCGTGGTCAACTCACCAGATTTCTTTGGAAATGCTCCAGGAAAAGTATTGGCCTCCTTGTTGTCATTCTTATTTTATATCTGAAGTAAGAAACTGGAATGTCCTTGTAATTCTATGCAGGGTGGTCATGGGCCCCGGGCCCAGTCCTTCCCATGGGGATGTTAGGGCTCCAGGGCCTGGACTCACAAGGGCTCTCAGCTTGATGGGGGCTGAGAGCAGGTGAGATCAGGTGAGGACATCACACTCCCAGTGTCTGCAGGGGACAATTTCTCTGGCCACAACGAAGTTGACCAGAAAGAGATGCTGCCTCATGGAGAAGTAACCCAGGCTCTGCTGTGTGATCCAGGTGATTGACCTGAGCTCTCTGAGCCCACTTTCTTCATTTAAGGAATGAATCCCGGTTCTACCACACTGTAGGACTGAATTGTGCTGAAGGTCTGTTATCTCGAAAGAATGACAGGCTAAATGTGGGGATGGAAGAAGGGGACATGGGCTAGCCACTGCAGAGCATGTCCATGTGACTGTACCCCCAATGAGGACAGTATGGAGCAGGGTCAGTAAATGGAAGGGTCTTCATGACCACGCCTTGAGGGTCCCAAATCAGATGAGAAGGCACCTGGCCAAGGCGGCTGTTGTCTTTAATGTTAGAGGAAAGTTGAGCTGAAGTTGGGCTTCCCAGGTGGCACTAGTGGTAAAGAATCTGCTTGCCAATGCAGAAGACATAAGAGATGTGGGTTTGATCCCTGGGTCAGGAAGATCCCCTGGAGGAGGCATGGCAACCCACTCCAGTATTCTCGCCCGGAGAATCCCACGGACAGAGGAGCCTGGTGGGCTATAGTCCATGGGGTCACAAAAGAGTCGGACATGACTTAGCAAGTGAGCACACACACGTGTACCAGGAACAGTGGACGAAGACCAAATATATATTTCTTATTAAAAATCACACAGTATTGCAGGCATGATACACCAACACCCACAAATCTCCCCGCAGCCAAAACCCCCGGACACGCTGTGTGGTCACCATCAGTGGCAAAGGCAGGACTCGCATGTCAGAGGGTCTTGTTTGTCACCCACCTGCGGGGCAGCCAGGCTCCTTACTCATGGAACGTCTGGTAGCTGAAGTTGTCCGACGCGGCTTTGAAGTCGTATTTTCCAGTCATTCTCTGGTAATGCCGGACGAGGAGGGCAGCTGCCCCAGCCACCGAGGCGCAGGCGGCCCCCACAATGAGGACCAGGTAGCCGGCTCCCAGGACCGGCCCTGCCTCCGGAGGTGACTCTGTGTTACACAAAAGAAGGCAGTTCTGACTCCATGTTGGAACTGTTTCTTTAACTTGCTTTTCATTGCTTTTGATTGTTATTACAATCATACACAACGGTCAGCCTCAGGGGACTCTGTCCCTCTGCCTGTCTGTAAGCTAGAGTGCCTTTGCTCAGCTCATAGATAATCGGACCCTACCCACATGCAGAGTACATGTGAAATGCCAGGCTGGATGAAGCACAAGTTGGAGTCAAGATTGCCGGGAGAAATATCAATAACCTCAGATACGCAGATGACACCACCCTTAAGGCAGAAAGTGAAGAAGAACAAAGAGCCTCTTGATAAAAGTGAAAGAGGAGAGTGAAAAAGTTGGCTTAAAACTCAACATTCAGAAAACAAAGATCATGGTATCTGGTCCCATTACATCATAGCAAATAGATGGGAAATCAGTGGAAACAGAGACTTTATTTTGGGGGGGGGGGGTCTCCAAAATCACAGCAGATGGTGACTGCAGCCATGAAATTAAAAGATGCTTGCTTCTTGGAAGAAAAGCTATGACCAACCTAGAGAGCATATTAAAAAGCAAAGGCATCCACAAGGGTCCATCTAGTCAAGGCTATGGCTTTTCCAGTGGTCATGTATGGATGTGAGAGTTGGACTATAAAGAAAACTGAGCACTGAAGAATTGATGCTTTTGAACTGTGGTGTTGGAGAAGACTCTTGAGAGTCCCTTGGACTACAAGGAGATCCAACCAGTCCATCCTAAAGGAGATCAGTCCTGGGTGTTCATTGGAAAGACTGATGTTGAAGCTGAAACTCCAATGCTTTAGCCACCTGATCTGAAGACCTGACTCATTGGAAAAGACCCTGATGCTGGGAAAGATTGAAGGCAGGAGAAGAAGGGGACGACAGAGGATGAGATGGTTGGAACGCATCACTGACTCGATGGACATGAGTTTGAGGAAGCTCCAGGAGTTGGTGATGGACAAGGAAGCCTGGCATGCTGCAGTCCATGGGGTAGCAAAGAGTAGGACACACCTGAGCAACTGAACTGACCCACCTGTGAATAGAAGTGATTAGCATACCCCTTCCAAAGTTTGGCCATTCCCTTGGAGATGTTTTGCAAGACTGAAGACCCTTTCACTTTACTTCCCCACTGCCTCTCCCTCTCTATTCTGCCTTCTGACTTTAGTTCCTCCGTGCTTCTTTCTCTCTGACTCTATAAAGGAACCTGGCACTCAGACCCTGACAAGATGGTTATTTTGAGGCACAAGCCTGCCATCTTCTCAGTCAGCAGGCTGCCTGAATAAAGTCACTTATCTTAACCCCCTGTCTCTCAGATTTATTGGCCTATCGTGGAGTGAATGGAGCGAGCTTGGACTGGGTAACACCTTCAGGAGTGAGATGGTGCGGGTGGGAGTTCCACCCACGCAGCAGGCCCAGGTCCTGGCTGGCCCCAGCATTGCCCTGAGATGGAGGACTCATGTCAGAGCCCGTGATGGAGCAGGCTCTCCCGCGGCAGCCGCTCCATGTGCCCGTGAACCCGGGGGCTCCCAGAGGTGCCAGGGCAGGTGCCTCAAGCCCCGGAGAGCACAGCAGAGGGGACAGCTCCTCCTGCTCACCCTCTGGATGGTCACTGGCCAAGAAGAGGAGGCCACGTGGGAGCCACAGGCAGTGCAGATGGGGACAGAGAGCTCAGCAGACTCGGCACAGGGACACGTTGCCTGTACCCACATGCAACTCAGCACCAGGGAGCCGGCCTTCCCCAGACTCGGGGGCAAGAAAGCACATGGGAGTCTGGACCCCAAACTGCTGAAAACAGGGATGCAAATAAATACTCATATATGCAGGTTCACAGCAGCAGAAAGGGGAAACAGACCCGAATCCATCAAAGGGTGAATGAACAAACAAATGTGGTCCATCACCCAGAGGAATGGCATTCAGCCATAAAAGGGAGGAGGTTCTGCCACACGTTACGTGGGACGCAGATGAGCCTTGAAAACATCCACTGAGCTGAGTGACAGGTACCGTTGCCAAGGACCACAAGTAGTCATGTGATCCTGTTTCTAGGGAAACGAGTCAGGAAGCCGACCTCATGGTTTCAGGGGTGGGGTTGGGGCTGGGGGTTCACTCTCTGTGAGCTTGGAACTGCTTTGGGGGATGAATGTGTTTTGAAACTAGAGAAAGGTAATGGTCCTACCACACTGTGAATGTGCTAAATTCTACCCAATAGTTTATTTTAAAAGTTAACTTTATATTAGGTAAATTTTATCTCAATCTTATCACAGGAGTTTATCAGAAAGGTCTGGGTAGGAAAGCCTTCCTGGGCAACAAGGAACACTTGAGATCCCGTTTCCCATTTCTGGGGCTATGGCCTGAAGTACCTTCTCCTCTGGGCCCCCCAGTCACAGCTCGGACATTTACAGCAAAGTGGTCAACGATGGCTTAGAAGAGGCTCCCTTCAGACTGCCTGTATGACGGGTCAGCTGGAAACCAGGCAACCCTGTCCTCCAGAGGGCAGGCCACACTGGGATGAGGATACTGGGAATGACTGCTGGAGCACCTGCAACCTTCTAAGGAACCTGAGGCCCCAAGACTCTGGGTCACCAGCTTCCTAACAATTCATTCACAGCTGGCCCTTAAATCCAGCCTCCAGTGGATGGTACCATGAATACCCCCTCCTCCTGCATCTCATGTCAGGGGCCAACTTGTGACCGTAAGGGGGCACTATCTCCCTTGAGGATGCCACAGCAGAAAAGCAGAGGAGGCCCCCCATGGTTGGCCCAGTGGAGTCGGGCCGCAGGCCCAGACTGCCAGCTCCAGAGACAAGTGAACCTGCTCTGGTTTCTGCCTCTCCAGCTGGGCTTCTGTTCCCTACAGTCAGGTGCTCTTAACCAGCCACAGACTCAGAGAACCTCTGAGTGGAGTCCACAGGCCAGTACCGTCCACTGGTTGTCAGGGTCCAGGAATGGTGACTGGTTCAGGAGAGATGCTTCCAAATAGAGAGGGAGCCTGCGTTGCAACAAGACCCACACCATCAGTGGGAATGTCTCCTTAAACATAGCATCCACATGTCAGCCCTGATGGATGAGACAATTAAAAGACATGGGTCCTCCCCCAGAAGTGTGAGCAGCCACACACAGGGCAGTGATGACATCTT